TAATCATAACTGTCTTTTTTTCCTGATCTCTCTGGTCACTTTCTGGTTACTATTTATTCTATTTTTTTATTCTTATATACATGCATATTTGTTTCTGTGGCATTTTCTGTAACAATAACTGATCCCAGTCCAATCATCTGGGGAAATTGTTGCAAATGTTTACAGCTCCTTTCATATTTTCACACTTTCCTGATGGAGGCCACGGCCGAGCTGAGGCAGGTTTTGAAGGCTTGAAAATAACGTATTCACAATTCGCAGAAATGTGCAAATGATCAAAATCAAGAATTGTCACTAAAAGAAGCAAGGTCAAACATGATTGCAATCCTACGTMCTTTCTGAGTTTCTGTTCTCAAATGCAATTTGTTTTCTTTTCAGGATCATGTGTACGAGTTACTGAACACTATAGATGCCTGYCAGTGCTACTTTGATATTGTAAGTGCATATTTTATTGTTTTTTCTTATGCGTTAATTTCAGCCCCTGAATTAATTTTCTTTAATTATTTTTTTCTGACTGCATGGAACAAAGAAGTGCGTGCTCTTTGTTTTGTTTGGGGAAGTTTAAAAKATGATAACTACCTGTTCTCACATTTCAATTTCAGGCTTACAATTTCGACTTCACCAAAAACTACTTGGACCTGATCGTCACCTACGCGTCTGTCTTCCTGATGATCGCTCGCATTGATGAAAAGAAGACTTTGGTGGGAATGTTTAACTGTGCTCATGAGATGACCAATGGATGCAGGTAAGAATAAGAAAGTGGAGGACGAGCCTGTTGTCCTTGCAGGAGATTATTACTTATAATGTAATATTGGTATTTTATAACACTGAAAATTTTGTTTTAATTTCATCCCTGATTTGATCTTCGAATATTTTAAAATTTTCACTAAAACCAAAAAGGAAGAAGCAAAATCTCTATTTATTACAACAACATCAATAAATTAACAGTGAAGTAAACATAATTTAATAATTCAATTTTTAAAAATATCCCCCAAACTCTACAAATAAATTTAATATTTTTTAATACAGTAACAACTACAACCCCTGGCAAAAAGTGTGGAATCACCAGTCTTGGATGAGCACTCATTCAGACATTTTATTCTGTAAAACAAACTCAGATCAAAAACATGATACAATAATAAGGTCATTCCAAAGTGCAACTTGTTGGCTTTCAGGAACACTCAAAGAAATGAAGAGAAAACATTGTGGAAGTCAGTGAATGTTACTTTTATTGACCAAGTACAGGGAAAAAATATGGAATCACTCAATTCTGAGGAAAAAAGTATGGAATCATGAAAAACAGATAAACAAAAGTCCATTCAAAATACATCACTAATATTTAGTTGCACCACCTTTGGCTTTTATAATGGCTTGCAGTCTCTGAGGCATGGACTTTATGAGTGACAAACAGTATTCTTCATCAGTTTGGTGCCAACTCTCTTTGATAGCAGTTGCCAGATCAGCTTTGGAGGTCGGAGCCTTCTTGTGGACCATTTTTTCCAATTTCCACCACAGGTTTTCAATTGGGTTGAGATCTGGACTATTTGCAGGCCATGAAATCGACTGAATGTGTCTTTCTCCAAGGAATGCCTTCACTGTTTTTGCCCTATGGCACGATGCAGCAGTTCACATATTTAGCAACCATGTGTGAAGAGTTACCTTCTTCAAGAAGTTTCACAATCCTCTCTTTTGTTTCAAAAGACATTTCTCTTGTTGGAGCCATGGTTCTTGCCACTCCACTTCGTCCAGCAGYCCTCCAAGGTGTCATGAATGCAGGTGTTTTTAACTGCAGACTAACGAGCAGATCTAATCTGAGGCAGGTGTCCTTTTAGGGAAAGGAAATTGACTGGATGTGTCCTGATTTTCCTCCTCCAATTTGAGTGATTCCATACTTTTTTCCTCAGAATTGAGTGATTCCATATTATTTCCCTACTTGGTCAATAAAAGTAACATTCTCTGACTTCAATGTTTTCTCTTCATTTCTTTGAGTGTTCCTGAAAACCAACAAGTTGCACTTTGGAATGACCTTATTATTGTATCATGTTTTAGATCTGAGTTTGTTTTACAGAATGAAATGKCTGAATGAGTGCTCATCCAAGACTGGTGATTTTTTTGCCAGGGGTTGTAAACATATACACATACATTAATTCACAATGTTTGGGTGTGATGCTTGAAATAATAAACCTTACAGCGTTTTTTTTTTTTTTTTTTTTTGGGGGGGGGGCTTTAGGGAGTTTGCTTAACAACTGAACTGATAGCATCTTTTGTTAATTTTCCACTAGTAATAATATCCCATGAACAAAAAGATAAAACCAACATTATGTGCACTTATGTATCACTTTATGATATCTGACCATCAGCATCTCAGTTCCACTTAAAAAAAAATGAAAAAAAGTGTTTTTTCCCTTTTTTATCATTATTTGTTTGAACGGCTCAAAATAGCAGGAAGTTTGTCCTAATTCAGAACTTGTGCAATGAGCCCAAAATGTTTGCATTTTACACTCGACGTGCAAATCCCATTTGACCAGAGAGAGACCACACACAGTCTGCCGTTTTAGAGAGAAAAACTTCACATCTTTAATTTTCAACCTTATAGTGAATGTTGTGTAAATATTTCCAAATCCCCTAAAACATCTTTAAAAAGGTTTTTGTTAGTAAAACTATTGTATTCGGTAATGTAGTACTGTTACTGAATTTTGTCCCCTGTTCTTAAAAAAAACTGACAAATTTCATATTACAACATTCTCTGCAGTGACCCCTCCTACCCTCGACTCGGTCAGATGTTTGTGGAGTACGAGCACCCGTGGAAGAAGCTCACAGAGGAGTTTGGTCCTCATACAAAAGTACATTTACAGTTAAATGTGTACTAGTTCACATTTGTAAGCACTGTTTAAGATGGTGAATCCAGCAACCTGCAAAATACAGTTTTATCATTAATAACTTCTACACACCTACTTTAAACATTACGTGTTGTGTTCATCTGTTAGTAAAGCTGATCAATAATTTGAATGAATTGAAAACACAGCAGTGCATTTAATGTTTTGCTGTGTTTTGCCTGAAAAAAAAAAACTAGCATCACATGCAGTGCTGTTACTAACTAGTTCCTCACCTGTCTTGTGATTTTGCACAAAATATGTTCGTGTTTCAACAAGTATCTTCTTCACTGCACTGTTTCCAATAAAAATCTCTTCTCCCACTTTTTGTTCACCCTTTGTTTGTTTTCTCCTTTTGTCCTGACCTCAGTCTGTGACAGCCGCGCTGCTTTCTTTGAAGATGGTGTACCCACGCAGGAACCTGCCTGCCGAGCAGTGGCGGAGCGCCCAGCTCCTCAGTCTGCTCAGCRCCCCTGCTTCCATGTTGGACCCGGCCTGCTGTGACACCGTGAGCCCAGCCTGCCGTCACCCCTCTGCCCTCCCCCCATCCCTCTGGCAGGGAGAGGAAAGAGCAGAGATAAGAACCATGACAGCAGCAACCAGTATTAGGATTTTTTAATATCAGTTACCAAGTAATTGAATTTAAAAGCTCTGAGTTTTTATTTTACATCATTGAGATTGAGAACCGTTGACAGTGATGTGCGTAAGTTTAGAGCCACTGCTCATTTCTCTATTTTTTGCTTTCTAAAAACTAACCTTTTTAATATGGCTGTATAAAAGGTGTGGCTAATACCTTTTACTATACAATAGCTATATTCCAAAATCTACATTATTTTAGGGGAAAACTCTGTGAAAACACTGTAACAGATTTGYTACCCTGTAGCATCAATACACAAAGGAAAAAAAACATATTACATGCTCTACAGACCTGTAATTATAAGCTTAACTTAATTGTATCATGATTGTTGATGAGTTTGTTCTCCACTTCAGATCATGTGTGAATACCTGTCAATGGAAGTGATGGAGCGTTGGATCATCAGTAAGTAACTCCCTTTCTGAAATTTCAGATTAAAATCTCCAAAGCTGTTTAATCACAACTCTGACACACTGACATAATTAATGATAAAACAAAACATAAATATTAAAAACATTCAGACTTCATATTTTGGTAAAAGACTGAAAATAAAAATAGGAAGAAAAAACATTATTGCTTTATTACTTATCATTGTAACAACAAACAACGATGGCTCCAGTCCAATAGATCGTATCATGGCTGTTTCTAATTTCCCTCCTTGCAGTCGGCTTCCTGTTGTGCCACGGCAGTCTGAATACAAACCAGGCTTCTCTGGAGCTGTGGAAGATGGCCCTGAGGAGCGGCCTCTTCCTCACCCTCACCCGAGACGAGGTCCTCAACGTACACAAGGTCTCCGAGGACCTCTTTGACACACTGAAAGGGTACCACGCTCTTCTTAAAGTAATGTATTTGTACAAAATGTACAAGGTGTCTGTGAAACATGATTTAAAGATGCATTTGTTTTTAAAACTTTTAATTTTTTTTGACAGTTTAGGTTGCAATTACGAAAACTCAACACATAAAACAGTGTCAGCCTCTATTTGTTTTTCTTTTTTTTTTCAGATACAGCAAGCGCATTGCAGACATCAAGGAATGCCGTGAGCATATTTTGACCAACTGGTAAAATTACTTTATGGAATTATTCAATGAATTGAAGTTACATATAAATGTGCTGTTAAAACCAGCGGTGTTTCGCCTGTTTCCAGTGGAGCCATGCACAGAGAGAAGAGGCAGTTTCTGAGAGTAGCAGTAAAGGAGTTATGCAAAGTGCTGGAGGATGAACCTGGACTTCTGGGACCAAAGGTAGAACAACTGTGGGAAACTTAGAAAGAACTGGAGGGATTTATTCATTTTCCATTAATGCTACATTATTATTCAAGCTGATCAAACTTCCATCCAACAAATGTTCCCCGTCCTTAATGTTGTTCTTTCTTTTTCCTTCTTTGCGCCAATCAAACCCCAAAGGCCTTATTTGTTTTTATGGCGCTGTCATTTTCCCGTGATGAGGTCCTGTGGCTCGTCAGACACTCTGAAAATATGCCAAAAATCAAGATGCCAGAAGATTACAATGACAAGTAGGCTCTCTATAAGCTAACTATGGAATACTTAGTAAGTTATAGAAATATGCCAAAAGCTCATGGCTGAGTGTTGAAATTCGGTCATACAGGCAGTATAACTACCTGAAAACCATTTTATATTCATCTGATGTGAATTAGTGTTCTTTTAAACTGTGCAGGAATCGTGCTATAAAACAATAAGATTAGGGATTGTGAGACTGATATGCTTTTCTGCTTTTCTTTCAGTAAAATGGCAGAACTGTTGTTCTATATGGAAAAGCTAAGAGGACTACTGAGAAAGTACAGCCATGTAGTTCAGCGCTACCATGTTCAGTACCTGGCACAGTTTGATGCCTTGGTGCTCAACGACACCATACAGGTACCCAAATATAACAAACTGCTATTCACTGAACTCCTGCAGCGTATATATGTACGAGTACTGTGTATTTCTGAATGCCTTGTTGGTCTCTTAGTGGTTATGAAGATAAATATACACATCYACATCTGATTTATGTTACCAGCACTATTAACAACTTTTTTTCACTTTAATTCAGAACATGTATGTTTGTCCAGAGGAGGAGTCAGTTCTGATGAGCTCTTTTGTCTCATCTCTTTCTGCTCTCTCTATTAAACAAGGTAATCACTACTATTTGTCAAAGAACTGAACACAGAACAATTTAAAAAGTAAGAAACAAAATCCACACACTATTTTTTATATATTAATGGTTAATTTCATTTAAATTTGAATGAAAACAGATCAAAAGTTTATTTTTTTGGCTATATTTATTCCCCTACACAGATTACACAAGTCTAGCTTTAATGTGCTTTAGGTGCCTTCATTTGAGTGTTTGGTTTACATTGAATGCGGACCCACATTTCAGAATTTCTCTCTGTATATATAATAAAACTATAGAAATAATTATTTCAAATTGCAACATTTAATGTTGTTTGTAWTGAGTACCTTTAAACTCCAAACAAATCAGGTTGTTCAGATAATAAAAACCTTCTCATTTYAGTGGACAACAAAGAGGAATTTGATTTCAGAGCACAGAGAATGGACTGGCTAAGATTACAGGTTTGTGTCTTATTTTACATAAAACATAACTTACATATTAAAGCATGAATGCATAAGGAAATGTTTAAGACAGACATCAGTTTTTTTTAATATTTTCTTTCTGTTCAGGCCTACACAAGTGTGAATAAAGCCCCTCTCCCATTAAAAGACTATCCTGACCTGGCAAAGGTGATGAACATGATCCAGTTTCACACCAAAATGGTAGACAGCATGGAGGAGATGCTYCAGGAGACGTCCGAGCTGTCCATCTTCTGGTCAGTCTCTTCATTTCTGTTATTTAAAATAAACATCTTTGTATTTTGGGAGACTGATTTATTTGTTTTCTCCAGTTTCTACCCTCGTGTGTTTGAGAAGATGTTCAGTCAGAGCAGTGAGGAGATGACTATGAAGCGTTACATCATGTCTTTCCCTTCCGTCTGTTCTCACTTCAGTCAGTGTGGACACCCTCTCTGCCCAGAAGAGGTCAGTGTTCAGTTGTCTTCTGATCAAAATCAGAATCACCAGCCTGTGTGTGTGAAGACATTAGTTTGCCTCCACTGTGCATGTTTTGTGCTCATTTTTCATTTTGACAATAAACCAAACAGATCAACAAGTTTGAGATGTACTCGTCTTTCTAGAATCCTCCTGATTGTTCTTCCTGCTTTTCTATGTTTGTGTGTTATGTTTTGTGTGTGCAGCACGACTTACTGGAGAAGCGGAGTCTGCGCCTGTGTGTGACCTTCCTGGAGCAGATAGCCAARCAGACCAGCGGTGTTATGTTGGAGATATGTGCTGAGCAGCGCAATCTCAATGACCAGGTGGAGTCTAACTTCAAGTTTCAGAAAACTTATTATCCAACAATGATGGGTTTCTGACTGAGTCCRTTTCCAAAAATAATCAAACATTGGTTTCAGTGTATTTACCTGGAGGCAGYGAGGAGACTTTTGAATAAAATGATAAGAAACTGTAACTGAGAAGCAGATGGTTTCACAGTGTTATTTCTCCAATTCAKATATTATAGATTTAAACATCCACAGTTGCACTAATGGGAAGGAATAACTTGAATGCTGTTCCACTGCAGATGTTTATCCTGTTTTGCTCGTATGTTTAAATTTCCCACCTTATCTTTCTTTTTTTGTGTTCTTGTTTTGTATGTTTTTTCTCCTTTCTTCCTCTTTGCACCTTTTTTCTTCCTGAATAACCGCACAGTTGCTGCCTAAACACTGTGCTGAGACCATCAGCGCCGCTCGCTACAGAAAGCAAAAGAAACCCGTCCCTAAAAAGGGAGAGGTCCAAAAAGAGAAGCCTGGTGCTGAGAGCCTGAGAAAAGACCGAGCCGTGGTCACCAAGTCAGTCTGTTTTTGTTTTTTCCCCCTAATTATACCAATTATTTATTTTTATTTGTCCTACAAAACCTGATAATTGTGATAATTATTCAGTAAATATATTTTCTATTTAAGCCTTTATTATAAACACTTACAAATGTTTCTTCAGATATGCTTTTATTTTTTGTTTTCAATGTAAAATATGTGAAAGTTTCAAGGTAAAAGAAAATGATTCCTCCAGCCTTCAGGGATTCATTCATAGCAATATTAAACAATTTGATTAAAATCTTTAATAAGTTTTAAACTTCTCCTGTCTGCTGATATTCAGGACATTTTTTAAATTAATTATTAATGCTTGAGTCGTTATGAAAACAAGTTGGTTTCACAACTGACTTTAAACTTTATAACCCTTCAAGTTGAATCAGTTGAGCATTCACAGGTGCTGAATCAGGCCAATAAAAGTTAGAAACAAAACACGTTTTATTGGCTGCACATTTTATTTTCAGTATTCTTAGTTTGATCATTTTCTATATGCAGCGTCTTAGCTCTAATAAAGTCTGCAGAATCCTCCCCTCTCAGTTTGGACGCACTCCTTCAGTTCTCTGGTGCCTTCGTTTTCATTTGTACGACAAAGAACATCTGCACTGAAGTCACTTTCAAAATATTTGTCCAAAGTTTTTACAGATTTGCTTCGTCCTCCCTCTGTCTCTCTGTCTCCTACAGTGTGGACAAGTTGCATCTGAAGCTGACGGAGCTCTGCTCCTCCTACAGCCTCAGCACCGAGTTGATCGTCTTCGACCACATTATCGTTCCAACAGAGTTCCTCCTGTCTCAGCTGGAGATCCGCCTGTCTGAGTAAGCTGTAAAAGGCACATGGGGGGTGGGGTGCAATTGTCTGATTAATGTAGATCAAATAATGAATCCTGAATAAGTAAAGTAAAAATATTCAGACCTTAGTTTTTATTCTTTCATTGATGGGATGCACTTATCAAAATTCATCATCAACAAGAGTTTCTGCTATAATTGGATTTTTTTTTTTTTGCATTGTGCTGACTATGAAGGAAGAAAATGACACAGGTTGTCTTTGGAGAAGTCAAGCCTGTATTTTCTGACAAAAACTATAGACAGAAAAGCAACCACAACATGCACTGYCCGCTCCAGGTCTTCTTCCACAGGACAAGAGAGGACAAGTGCTGCAACAGTGTTGTACTACTTTATACATCTGACATATCTGACTAGAACAATAAACAGAAAATCACCACGTTATGGACTGCATGCTCCAAAGCAAAAGTATGCAACAAAACTTAAGTCAGTCTCTGTTACTTTACAGTCATAAATGCACTCAAATATTCCCATTACTGAGTGAATATATACACATAACAGTGTGATGATAACAGAAATGCACTTCATATATCAAAAAAAAAAACAAACCTGGATGTATTTGGATAAAAAAGAGCAGCATCCACTATCACAAACAATTTAACAAAACAATACCATAGAAGAAGAAATAGGGAGGGGCCTCTGACCTTAAAGTCACATGCTTGCAACAAACATAGTGGTTTTAATGGTGTTTCCAGTCAGCTATAAGAAGTATCTTAGAAAACATTTTGTGAAATTATGACAAAGTTCAAATACAAACTGTTCTCCCTTTTATTGCAGCAGCAGCATGATGTCTGCAAAATGATGTGATATCTCTCAAATCTGGAATATCATTTAGTCAGCTGACCTTTGTGATAAACAGAAAGCTTCACTCTGACTGGGATGTGACATATTAAATCATTTAGGCTATTTTTTCTCAGTGTTTTCTCAGAATTTTCACAGGTGCAATTATTTCTTTTTTTAATGTCCTTCTTACAGTCAGACAAATCGCAGAGAGTTTGGATCTTGTGAAATACCTTCTCCATCACTAAACTGAAGCTTTTTCTTTTTGATCTGACTTCATTATGTCAAGTTTAAAGCTAAAAAATCTGAGCAAATACTGTATCTGTCATGTCACTCCTCTGTGTCATTTCAGTATTAACTTCTGTTTAGATCATTGTTTGGTATGAGGGTAAGTTTGTGTTACTCTTTATATGTTCTGTTTAGTCTCTCTGTCTTTTTTTATGACTACCTGTCCTGTAGCATTATCTTTAGTCTCCTTAAGTGGCAGCATTCTTGCAGTGATTGGTCCCTCTGTGGCCAACATTATAATGAAATAAAGGAGCCAACGTGAGAGATTGAAGGGCCCGGAGGAAAAACATAAATAAACCTGCAGTGAAGCCCTGCAGCTAACCAGTTTTATGGAGCCATCTGAGCACCAGCAGTTGGGTGACAAGTGACAGCGTTTTAACACGTTTCTGCAGGATCATTGTGAAAATGATCAACTACAACCAGACCACCCAGGAGATCACRCGCCCCTCTGACCTGCTGGCGGGGATAAGAACCTACACAACCAGCCTGCACAACCTCGCCAGCCACATCAACGTGGACATCACCCGGCTGGTGAAGAACATCCTGCTGCAGCAAACACAGCCGCTGGACTCACACGGAGGGCAGACAGTTACTCACCTCTACACAACCTGGTGTGTGTCAGATACACAGGCATTCAAAAATATATACACTAATAGACAATTGCTATTGAGGCAAACAACTAATTAAAAGTGGCATTTAACACAAGAAATGTTAGTGCATTTGCAAGTTCATCCTCTTCGCCCTGAATTCTGACCTTCTGGTTTTAATAGAGAAGCACTCTTTGTTTTTGCTCTCTTTTTATCTCTGTAATTCAGACTGAGCTGTAAAGGTTAAGGACACATTCTCTGCTTTCTGCTCCTCAGGTTCCTGGAGGGCCTTTTGCGTCAGGCAAGCAGCTGCCTCGTCGTCCACTGTCCCACCATGCAGTGCTTCATCAGCCAGACGACTGAAAACGAACTGACTTTCAGAGCAGAGGAGTTCTCAGACGTGGCAGGTTGGCTTCAGTGCTCGAATAAAGACAAGCGGCAACAGCTGTAATCAGGAAAACAATCATTTTGACACATTTAGATCAGTGTTCAAGAGCATATAGGGAATTTTTCACCTAAGTGTAAAAAGCTAGTCTTTTCTGAGACAAACTCCTACATTTACTGGGTTCGCAAATTTCCGTGTTTAATAATCATGAGCCCACATGTTCCTGAAATGACTCATCGTTAGCTAAAACCGAACTTGCAGATATCTGTCAGCCGTGTATGCAGGGAAAGTGTGACTGCACCAAAGAATATAAAACTTGTAATGGTGTTGTTGTGCTGTATTTTATTTTGCACCTCTTGTCTTGCAGCTTACTCTCCCACTTGCCTGGCTTATATAAACTTCAGAATTGCCTATTATCTGCTCCACTCTTCCATCTCTGCCATATACTGTAACTGTTATAGCATTACTTACATCTCTCCTCCTTACAGCTTCTAGTTCCACCTCCACACTAACAGCATTGGAGCTCCTTCTAAAGGCTAAATTTACTCCATGTCACGCTTTGGTTCAGGCATACAAGCAAACACGATTGCTGCACCATAACAAGATCGCTGTACTTCAGTAATCGCCTCCACACTTTGTCATCCCCGCTGTCTAAATTTACTCCTCAGTTATCAGCCCGCCTCACAGTGAATCGCTGGCTAATCCATTAACCACCTTCAATTTCATCCACACGCATTCTCACCCATCCATATTCATTCACAYGGCAGCCTGAATGAACGATCTGAACTTACTGATTCAGCTTCACTAAATAACCCAACTGGATTTGAAAGTGAAACTAATAGCCAAACTTTTGTATGAAACACCTTCAAAAAAGAGAACACATTGTAAAGAAACAAAGTATTTCTTCAGTGTAGTTTAAATCCATATTTGTTGATTTCATTGTAACTATTAATTTTAAACAAAATCAACCTCTAAACAGAGTTACAGGCCCTGGCAGAACTGATTGGTCCATATGGGTTGAAGTTTCTGGGTGAGAACCTGATGTGGCATATCACCTCCCAAGTCACAGAACTAAAGGTACAGTATGAAGCAAACAGAGAAGTCACAATCAGTTATTAATGTTTTTGTAAATTTAGGAAAAAATAATAATTATCTTATTGTTGTAGCCATCATGAACACAAGTTTTGATCATCAATGATAATCAGTGTTCATGTTTTCTACCACAGTCATTCAAAGTGTATTTGAATACAGAAAATGCATTTTTAATCTGTTCCTGTCTCTCGTCTTTGACATCTTGTCAGCTGCAAACGACAATGTCGTTTTCAGTTTCAGCAAATGTAAAACAGGGGAAAATATCAGCTGTATAATATGATTAAAAATAGTAGTTTTASCACACAGTGCTGTTAAATCACTGTAACTGCAGTCAAATAATGATGSCCCTCGTTCCTCCATCTATTCACACAAGCAATTAAACGGCAAAACAACTTTGCTGAGCTGCTCTGAAACAGAAAATTCCTATCTCGCTACACATCAGAGTTAATCAGCTTAGTGTTTAAGGTTACGCTGAAAGGTTTTTTGTACGTATTTTCGGAAACAGACCACAAAAATACGTATATGGACAACTTTGTGGTTAAGTCCATGAGCTCAGTCAAAGTTAGTTCATTCATCATCCACTCTAGTGAGTCAAAAATAAATTGACCTTATTTAACTCAGTTCTTGCAATATGTGGAAAATATTCACATTTAGATTCATTTTGTTGTTGATTAGACCTTGAAAACCTAAAAAAACCTGTCACTTTATAAAACACTGATTATGAAAAACAATTTAATTCTGCTGCTCATCACTTTGACACGCATGGTTGAAACGAGGAGTCTGAAGCTGCCACAGTTATGGCTTCTCCTTTGTGACTCTCAGCTGAAAGTGTCTGTTATCACTTATTTCACTCCGTTGTCTTCTGACAGAAAATGGTGATTGAGAACATGGACGTCTTGATACAGATGAAAAACAACTTTGACAAGCCAGAGGAAATGACCAACCTGAGGAAGAGGCTGACAGGTGAGAAGTGCTGAGAGGAACAAGAGGGGGAGATAAGGGAAAGAGGTGTGAAGCTAAAGGTGGCACGCAGGCTGAAAGATGTTTTAGGGGAAAATGAGAGAGGAGGAAGTTGATTTCAGTGGAAAAAGTGAAAAAGAAGAACATAAATCAGATGAGATCAACAAAAGTGAAAAGATATTTAGTTACTGTATTTCCTACTGARCACATCTCTGTACTTTGGAACATAATGCAGCTTATTTTTGTTTTTA